TCCAATAAAAAAATGGGCACCTTAAGAGAATAGACACTTCTCAGAGGCAGAAGTATGATTGGCCAATAAATACACAAAAAGTATTCAATGTCACCGACCATTTGAGAAATGAAAATTAAAATAGCATTAAGATTGCATTTTGCCCCTAAAAAATGGCTACCATCAAGAAATTAACCAATAATAAATGGTGATAAGGCTGAAGGGAGAAAAGAACCCTTCTTCATTGTTGTGAGAGTGTAAAATAATACAGCCTCATGGAGATTCTTCAAAAAATAAAAATAGAAATTCCATTTGACCCAGCTATTCCCCTTTTAGGTATCTTCCCAAAAGAGTTAAAAACATCAGACCACAGTGATATATGTATACCCATGTTTATAGCAGTATAATTTGTAATAGCTAAATCTTGGAAACAGCTTTTATGTCAATGAACAGAAGAATGAATAAAGGAAATGTAGTAATTATACATAATGGAGTACTGTTCTGCCATAAAGAAAGATAAACTTAAGGATTTTTAGGAAAACTATATATTTTTAGGATGCACTATAAGACCATAATTTTAAGTGAAACAAGTCAAGAGACACAAGCTTGAACATCACCTTTCCGCTTATATGGAAATGCTGATATGTAAATAAAGTGTGAAATAAAAGACAGACACAATAATAGAAAAAAGAGAGAGAAAGTTAGTGTATTCTATGTTTTTTGGCTATTTAGGTTATTGAGCTTTATTTTATTTATTTATTTATTTATTTTTTGGTACGGAGGATCAAACTCGGGATCTTGCGCTTGCGAGGCAAGGAGCGGAACCACTGACCTAAATCTCCAGTCCTATTTAATTTTTATTTTCACTCCAATATGGTGTGAGAGCTCACTTTGCAGTATTTCCGTTTCTTTGGATATGTTAAAGCATTTATTGTCCTTATGAACATGGTCTACTTTGAATAAACAAATTCCCAGAATGGGAAAATCTATGAAGATAGTAGTTAAGTGGTTGCCTAGATTTAGAGGGGAGGGATTGGTAGGTGACATCTAGTGGATAGAGTGTTTTGTTTTGGGGTAACAAAAGTGATCTAAATTTGAGTGTAGTCTTGGTTGTATAATTCTGACAATATTGCTAAAATCTACTAAATTATGCACTTTAACATTGTAAACTGCATGGTATGCAAATTTTAGTTCACATAGCTGTTATTCTAAATTTTAAAAACACGGTTATCACTAGTTGACAGGCATATGACTTTTTCTTTATCTGTCTCTGCATGTTTATCTAAAATGAATGTTTTACCTGAGTAATGCTAAAAAATTAATTTTTGAAATGAATGAGGTCATTGCTAATTCAAAGACCACATCGATTTGATGTATTTTAAGAAATTACGATTTTTCTTTTCCCTATACAGCTAGGAAATAAAAACTATCTTCATTTAAACAGATATAAAGAAAAGTTTTTAAATTAAAATAAAATAAATAAATCCACCTTAGAGAATACAGATCTTCAGCATAAAATGGATTAAGTCTGATTTATTTCCTTTCATTTTTGTAGCAGATGGGTAGCTGCTCTTTTCCTCACAAACCTCCTGTTACAAGTGGGAGATTCAAGCCAAGCCCCCCAGGGGTGATTTTTAATCATTTATGGTGAGCTATGGAGAAGAGATACTATTGATGTGCAACTCACTGAAGCATTCAACCCTCCCTTTTCACCTTCATCTTGCTTCTACTTCAAATTTCAGATACTAGCTTCATTAAGAAAGGTTATTATAATGAAACAGGAAGCTTTTATTTGTTTTTCCAATTTTTATTAGTACATCTTTGCAGTGTGTGTTTAATTCCTTGTGTGCAGTTGGTACATGTACATAAACATCTTAATTCCTTTTTTCATCTTTTTCCCTGTTCTCTCTCCATCCCTTGATCTCCTTCCCATTTGAGAAAGATCTTTCTCCCTATGTCTATAAGCTCTTTTATTTTGATTTTTACATATATTTTAGATTTATTATATAAGAGAAATCATGCGATAGAGAAGCTTGTTTGTCTGGTTCACTTAACTTAACATTGTGGTGTTAAGGTGCATCCATTCTCCTAAAACTGACACATGATTATCTTTCTTTAGGGCAGAGTAATACTCCATTGTGTGTTGATACAACATTTTCTATATTCACTCATCTGTTGATTGAAATACAGGCTGTTTCCAATATAGCTATTATGAATTGTACTATGAAAAACATTGGTATGAATGTATCACTGTGATTTGATGTCTTTAACTCTTTTGGAAAGATACCTAGGAGGGGAATAACTTGGTCAAACAAAATTTTGAGTTTTAGATTTTTGAGGAAGCTCTATAGTGATTTCCATAATGGTTTAGCAGTTTACATTTCTACCAACAATATAGATGAGTTCCCTTTTCCCTGCAGCCCCATCAGCATTTGCTATTATTTAATTTTTTGATGATGACTGTTATTTCTGTGATAAAATGAAATCTCAGTATTGTTTTAATATGTTTCTCTAATTGCTCCGGTTATTAAGCATTTCTTCATGTACTTCTTGGACATCTGTACTTATTTTGTGAAGTGTTTGTTGATATTACTTGTCCATTTTTTGATTAGGTTTCCATCAAAGGGGTCTAATTTTTGTGAGTTTTTCATATATTGCAGATATTCATCCTCCATCAGAGGACTAGCTGGAGAAATGTTTGGCCCATTCTTTTGGTTTTCTTTTCACTCTGTTGGTTGTCTATTTTGCTGTGCAGAAGCTTTTCAAATTATATTTCTCTGTGCAGCCAGTCTTCTCATCCAGAAGGCCTTGCTTATGTCTATGACTTCAAGTGTTTGTGAACCAAATTATTCATGAACTAAGGTACTGTATTAAAGAGCTATGTTTCCTCTAGTTTGTTTGCAGTCCCTTTGTCAAAGATCAAATAGCTCAACATGCTTCAAGCTGTTTGTGCATGCTGTAATGTTCCACTGAACCGGATGTCTGTTTTGTGTCAATACCATGCTATTTATATCAAATCATTTTGTAATATAACTTAAAGTTCAGGAATGTGATGCCTCCCGTTGTGCTTTTGTTATCTATGATTGCTTTTACTATTCTATGCTCTTCTGGTTTCACATAAATTTGAGGATTGTCTTTTCAAGTTCTTTGAAGAATGCTGCTTGCATTTTGATTGGAATTACATTAATTTATATATCAATTTTGGGACAATGGCTATTTTGATTAGGTAGGTCCTACTTATCTAGGAACAGATGATGTCTTTTCATTTATTGATGTCCACTTCAGTTTCCTTTTTTAAAGTACTGGAGTTTTCATTGTAGATGTCTTTCACTTTCTCAGTTAGGTTAATTTCTAAGTATTTAATTTTACTTGGTGCTATTGGGAATATTTTTTCCTAATTTCTTTCTCAGTGGATTCATCATTAGTGTACAGGGATATTATTGATTTTTGTGCATTGATTTTTATATTGTCCTATCTTAGTGAATTTGGATATTGATTCTCAAAATTATTTGGTAGATTTTTGGCTCTTCTATGTAGAGAATCATATCATCTGCAAATAATGATGATCTGACTTTTTCCTTTTCTATATGTATTCCTTTTGTTTTTCTTTCCTAATGTCTCTTGCAAATGTTTCAAATATTGTGTTGGCCTGGAATGATGGTAGTAGAGATCCTTTCATCCTTGTCCTGTTCCTGATATTAGAGGGAAAGTTTTCAGATTTTCTCTATTTAATATGATGTCAGCAATAGGTTTATCATAAGTGGCTCTTATCTGATACCTATTTTATTATCATTTTATCATGCAAGGATTTTGGATTTTGTCAGAAGCTTTTGCTGTGTTTATTAATATGATTACGTGATGTTTATCCTTGCCTCTTTTTTATGTGATACATTACATTTATTAATTTGTGTATGTTGAGCCATCCTTGCATCTCTGGAATGAAGCCTACTTGGTCTTGATGCATGATCATTTTAATGATTCATTGCATCCTGTTTGCCTGTATATTGTTGAGGGTTGTTGCATCTATATTCATGAAAGAGATCGGTTTATAGTTGTCTTTTTTGTTTATCCTTGTCTAGTTTTGGAAGCAGGCTAATGTTAGTTACAGGAATGACTTGGGGATTTCTCCTTCCATTTTAACTTTGTTAAAGAGCTTAGGGAGTATTGGTGTTAGATCTTTCTGAAGTTTTCATAAAATCCATCAGTGAAACATCTGGACCCAGGCTTTTCTCAGTTGGTAGGTTTTTCATTACTGCTTAAATTTCACTGCCTGTCATTGGGTTAGTCATGGTTTTTAAATCTCCTTGGATCCATTTTAGTAATTTACGTGTATCTAGGAATCTATCCATTTTTAAAGCCTCCAATTTGCTGGTATACAGGTTTGCAATGTAGTTGTTAATAATTTTTTTATTTTTACTTTGGTAGTGTCTGTTGTTACTTTACCTTTTTATTTCTTATTGAATAGATTTGGCTCTCTTCTTTGCTTTTGTGTTTATATTGGGAAAGGGTTTGTCTATTATGCTTATTCTTTCAAAGAATCAATTCAATTCATTGATTCTTTGTATTTTGTGTTGGTCTATATTTCATTGTGTTCTGCATCAGTCTTATAAGTTTTTTTTTTCTTGTACTGGATTTCTATTTAGAGTGTTCTTGTTTTTCTAGGACCTTGAAGAGCATTGTTAAGTTCATTATTTTGGTGTGCTCTGTTTTTGTGATGTGGGCATGTACAGCTATAAACTACCCTCTTAGGACTGCTTTTATTGTGCCCCATATAATTTAGTATGTTTTACTGGCATTATCATTTAGTTCTAGAAACAGGTAGGTAGCTTTTAATAGGTATAAAATTTCTTTTTACTTAAGAGACCTATATTACTGAATCTTCTTATCGGGGTGACAATTTATAATCCATTTCGTGTCACATTTCACTACTGATTCCTATGGATGGAGAGTGAGTGATTGTAGGAGTCGCCTGCATCCCCAGAGATAATAGGACTTGTAATTATGAGTTGACAGGTACTCACAGTTACTTTGAGTCTTTCATTTACCATTGTTGCCTGCAAAAAAATCAGAAATGCCAGTAAAATTGATATACTACAAAGAAGTTCATAGGGGCCATGCTAGGAAATATTCTGTTTTGACCAGCAAATTTTTATCTAAACTTTACACATTGAAATATCCATGTTCCTATGGAGACAGCTGAGGTAAATGGAGAAATACCTAACACTTTCCAACAAACAGTAATTAAGCACTTTCTATATGCTTGGTACTCTGCTAGATTACCAGGATATCATGAGGAATTAAAATAAACATGATTTCAGTCTTCTTGGAAATTAAAAATGACAACACAAGATAATAATAGTAAAAACCAAAATGTATACAAAGTGTTGTGAGCCTTTAGTAATGAAGCGTTCTGGGTGTGAAGCGGATATGTGATATATGCAGGTCATTTTCTTGGTATCGTGAAGAATGGGTGAAAAAAATAAAACTTCAGAGATTGAACTAACTGCACTTACAGCTACTAAACAATGAAGCTCTGATATTATAAGACAGTGATAATGAAGGAAGTAGGGGTGGAAAAATGTGAAAATATTTAGGATATGGATTTCAACATTTGAGATTATTTTTACAGTGAAAGAGATTTGGGGCAGACTAAAATCAAGATTAAAAATGCAGTTTTTCTGGCTTTGGCAACTAGATAACCTAAACTGTACTTACACAATGATTGAAAGAACTAGGAGAATATTATGCAGATTGAAAAAGAACATAGTAAGTTCAAGACATATTCATACAAAGTATCAGCCACAGTTCTATTAAAAATACACTTTATCTTCCTCCAAACTTACCATCTTTCCTATTTATTCATTTATTTTCTAGCATTTAACATATTTAGTAATTATCTTAGTCCATCAAATCTAAGATACTTTTGCTTGCAATGCATACAAATTTCTTGAGTATTGATAAAAGAAAACAAAATGACTCCTGTAACAACGATGAGACACATCTCAACCACACATTTTTATTTGACTTGTCATTTGATGAAAGAACAATGAATATGGCCCTCCTGAAGAATTTTTGAACCTAGAGGCTGTCACCAGGTAACAGGAAACCACCATGTTATTCCATCATGATGCTTTCTCACATACAAAACACATCCATTTCATCTCTGATCTTACAAAGCTTATGGTCAATTGAGTCAATTGAATTATTAATATCACCAAACAATTTTAGTGGAGAAATATAAGATACTACGGGGAAAGTATAAAAGGAAAAAAAAACATAGATCAGAGGGAGTCAAAGATGCCTCCCTGAAGGAGGAAAGTGTGTTTCAACTGCTGAATAATGAACAAAAGCAAGTTAAGTATGAAAGATAGGAAATAAGTGTGGGCCAGTCTGTTCCTGCTGCTATAACAAAATACTTTATAAGAGGAAATGAAGAAGAGAAATTAATTTCTTGGAGTTCTGTAGGCTGGGAAGTCTGAGGAAAAAGCACCAATAGATTCAGTGTCTAGTAATGGCTGTTCTCTGCTTCCAAGGTGGTGCCTTTGTATTGTGTCCTCCCATGGCAAAAAGTACTTGTGTGTTCCTCTTGACATCTTTTATAAAAGCAACAATACATTCATAAGAACTGTGTTAGCTTTCTATTACTATAACAAATAACTGAGAGAGACAACTTATGAAGAAATAAAGTTTATTTCTGCCTATAATTTTAGATGTTTCAGTACATGGTCTGTTGGTCCCCTTGCTTTGGACTTGTGCCAGAACATCATGGTGGAATGTGACGCAGCAAAACTGTTCATTTCATGGCCAGGAAGTAAAAAGAGAGAAAAAGAGAGGATCAGTGTCCCATAATCGCCACTGACCTCATGACCCTAATGACCAAAGACTTCTCACTAGGACTCACCTTTTAAAGTTTCCACCTCTTCCCAAAAGTACTAAAACCAAGTACTAACTAAACTTGGTGCTAAAAATCAAGTCTTTTTTACATACAACTTTGGGGGACACAAAATACAAATTAAAGCAAGAGCAGAACCTCCGTAACATAATCACTTCCCAAAAGGTCCTTTCTTCCAACATTGTAAGTGTTGCATTTCAACTTCACATACGAATTTTTGAAGTGACACAGGCATTCAAATCATAATATTCCAACCTTGAGCCTCCATAATTTATGTCTTTGTGTTGAGATCTCCATTTTGCTGTGTTACGGTTCTTGTTAATTTAATTAGCATTTTAATTATGATTAATGTGACTGCACTTTAATGGCACTTAGTCCATTTTGAACTTTCTTTTAACCTGAGTTGTAACTGAGCGAAGCTGCTGGCTGACACTCACCTTCACACCTGGGTGACTGATAGCCACATTGACAACTATGCAATATGCAAACAAGAAAGTTGGTGTCCAGCAGTTTTCCCTCCACATCTGACAACTGAAGCCTGGGATAATATTCCTTCTAGGACTATAAATACCAATGGCTTTAGACTGCCATTTGAGACCCATCTTGCTGTGACTTCACTGTTTTCTGAGTATTCACATGAAATTGCCATCAGCTGCTGGAAGTTGTGCCTGAGTGAATAAGTCTTTACCTCATTGCTGATAACTTGATGGCAGTTTAGACTGTTTGAATGTCATCTTGATAGCACTGGTCTTGAGGACCTTTTTTCCATGGAAACACATTGTTAGGTTCATTACTGACACTCTGTGTTCAAGTGATTTTTCTTTTATTATTTTGTCTATAGTTTCATATTCTGTTTATATTTTATTTTTTCTATATTTCAATAAGACAATAAACTTGGGAGCTATCTTTATTTTATTTCACTTGTCATTTGATTAGAGAACAAAGAACTGGACCTCTTAGAGAAATTACAAACCTTGAGGTTAAATTATCATCAGGTATAAGGGAACCTCCATGTTATTCCATCATGATACCTTCACACATACAAAATACATTTAATCAATCTCAGTTGTCCTAAAAGTCTTAACTCATTCCAGCATCCACAAAGTTTAAGTCCAAAGTTTCACCTAAAGTCTAAATCAGATATGAGTGAATCCACAATGTATGATTCTTCCTGATGTGAATTCCTTCTCCAGCTGTGAGCTTTCAAAGTCAAACAAGTTACATCACGGGGCAAGTAAATTATAGACATTCTCATTCTAAAAGAGAGAAAGAATCAAGGAGTAACAAGTCCCATATAAGTCTACAGCCCTCAAATACAAACAACCATAAATTTTGAGGCTTGACAATAATCTTTGACTCCATGTCCTGCCTACCATACACTGCAGCAAGGATTGGGGCTCTGGGGATCCGATGTAGACCTGCCCCATGCCTTTACTGGACTCAACCCAAAAAAACAATTCTAAAATGTTGGAATCAAATGCCTGAGCTCTCCAGGGCTGGAGTTATACACACTGATTTCTCTATTCATTTGGAACTTCAAAGGGAAGCCCCCCCCTAAACAATAAATTTGTAGGTGCTTTCCCCAAAAGAAAAAAACATGAGAAAATGAAAAAATGGAAAGAAAGTCTTTGTAAAAAGGGAAGGCTGGAGCGGGTGAAGGGAGGGCTGGGGTATGGGGAAAAAATGAGAACCAAGACCTGTCATGTAAAGGTACAAGACCCGAATGATAAATGTAACTGTACTGTATACTTAAAAATTACCAATAAATTCAATGAGAAAAAAAGCTCGTAGGTGTTATCTGTGATGACCCTGATCTCATTGGTCACACAAGCCATTGCTTTAACAAGGTTTCTCTTCAGTGGCTCTGACCCCATAACTCTTCTAGACTTTGTCCTGGTGGAGACTCTTTTCAGTGGCCTCACCCAGGTGGCAGTTCTATGTATAAGATACAAAGCTTCCTGAGTTATCATTTGAAATCCAAGTGGAAGTAGCCATGTGTCCACAGCTTGTACTCTGCATCTTGCAGTTAGCACCACATGGATAATGACTAGGTTTAATGCTTGTGACCTTTGAAGCAATGACCTGAGCTACACCTTGGCCCTCCTCAGACACAGCTGGAAAGAACATGCACTAGCTAGAATTTACAAAACAAAAACCTCCTTTGAAACTGCCCTGCCTTTAAGATTCCAGAACGCTGGGTGTGTGGCAGAAGTGGCATCCATATAGATCTCAGAAATGTCTTCAAGGTTATTCTTCTATTGCTTTGATGAATAGTTTTGAACATCCTTCTATCCATAATCTCCTTACCAAATGTTCTCTTGGCCATGCCATTGGTTTTCTCGCCCAAACACACTTTTTTTCATATTCTTCACAGTACTAGGCTGAGAATTTTCCAAATCTGTTTCCTTTCTGATTATAAATTTCATCTTTAATTCATTTCTATCTTCTTGCATTTAGTACTAAAAGCAGTTAAGAGAAGTCATGCAGATCCCATAGTACTTTGCTTAGAGATTTCTTCTGCCAAATATCCTAGTTCATAACTCTCAATTTCTATTTTCCACAATGTTTTAGTATATAGATTAAAAAATTTATCCAAGCTCTTTGTTAATTTTCAACAAGGATAGCCTTCCTTCCAGTTACACTAATTTGATCATTGTTTCCATCATCATAATTGAACTTCATTGTCCATATTTCTACCAGTATTCCAATCCAGACCACTTAAGTGTTCTCTAAACTGATTAAAGCTATAGCTCGCCTCTTCTTCTTAGCCTTTACTAAAATATCCTTTAACAGCCTCAGACATGGACTGTACCTATGATCCAGTTGCAAAAGCACTTCTACATTTTTAGGTATTATGGTAATACATACTTCTCAGTAGCAATTTCTGTTTTAGTCCTTCCCAAATACTGTAACAAAATACCTTAAGCTAGGTAATTTATAAATAATAGAAATTTATTTCTCAAAATTCAGGAGGCTGGAAAGTATAAGATCAGGGCTCTGGGAAACTCAGTATTTGGCGAGGGATATACACAATTTTGTGCAACCATCAATACTACTTAATCCCAAAACATTTACATAACCATAGAAATAAATTCTATACTCATTAACAGTCACTTCACACTTCCCCTCCTTCGAACTCCTGGAAGCCATTAATTCAACTTTCT